GAAGGAAGAGTGGTGGTGCTGGGACAGGAAGACATTATAAATACCTATTCTGGACATTCAGTTATCAACACTGAAAATAGACCATTTACACCAAGTGATATAACAACAACACCTACTGACAATGTCATTGTTGTAGATTCTGACAGCAGTACTCTTCATGTCCTCAATTCATCAGGGCAGATGATGATCTACATCAGCCTTAAAGACAAAGGGATACTGCAAGATCCATTCTCCATAGGACTTGCAATGACAGGACACTTTTGTATGCTATATATAGGAACAGTTACTGAAGAGGGAAGCAAAGACAAAGCCAAACTATATAAACTTACCTTGAAAGGTTGTTAATAGTCAAAGTTCACTTTAAAATGCAATTATAATCAAAAGCTTATGTATAAACAGATACCATCATGGTTTGATGTAAAAAGTGGCTATTCATTGCCACATTGTATCTAATCGACTTGATGATTTATACTTTTTATGTTATCTTAACATGTTCAGCAAGTCACTGGTGTTAAGAGTCATTTTCTTCTTCGCGATTTTATATGGCATTTATTTATTCATCAAGGTTTTCTTGAATACTTTCAATTCATTTTTAATTAAAATTAACTAAAGACATTTTTTAGTTATAAATTCTGCAAATAATTTTTTTTTTTTTTAATTTATTCTGCTAAATGAAAGATTTGTGCAAGAGTACATGAATTCTACCTTTCACATAAACTGGGGTCTGAGGTTTCTGGTTTCCGGATTTGTAGTTTTAGATAGTACTGGTACAAACAATTGAAAATTTTCTTTTATATTGATAGTAAAATTAATGATTTTCATCAAATAAAAAAATAATATTTTGTAAATAAGAGTGAGTTTTCTGTCTCTACTGATGAACTGATGGGTGAATATAATAATGATCAATATAGAAAAGACTTTACAATCTTTTAACCATAGTGGTAAATCTGGCGTAAACTACAATTATGAACAACTAGTAGATATCCTTAAAAGTTTTTAAAAAAGTCATTTTGTCTCAATTTTTTTACTTTCTAGTGACATTTTTGTCATTAATCTCAAGTGTCAACAATGGTCTATCTGTCATTTATCACCAAATTTATAATAAGCATTGCACTGCCTACTGGATATACAGGAAAGGATTTGCATGACTCGTAATGCATGCATAGAAATAAATGTTTACACTGTGGATACCTGCAAGATACATAAATGCCAAGACAATTCTTTGTAATAAAACATGTGTACCTGATTTTTTTAATCTGGCACAGAATGTACCTTTTTATTATGTCAACTTAACTTACGGATTGCCGTGATCTCGAAAGAGAGACAAATAGAAAGTAAAGAGTGCACACACTGAAATGTCTCGCCTGTTTTACTGACCACTGATTTTATGTTGGAAGTCTTAAAGATAATTTTTTTACTACAAGTATCACATTACTTAACATTTTTAACTTGAAAACTCAACATATTCCCCCACGACACTTACCAAGGAGGAAATCCTGGATAATCAAAGGTCCGTTCTATGTTCTTTTGGAATTTCAACCAAAGATGAAGAACTGGTTTTTCCTTCACTGTATTGTATACCTAAACTACACAAGTGTCCTTACAAGCAATGTTATATTGCTGGGTCTTCAAAGTGCTCCACGAAACCTCTTTCTAAATTATTAACAACAATTTTATCAGCAATCAAAGCCTGGCTTCAAATTAATTGTGAAACTGCCTATTCTAGAGGTGGCGTGAATCAGATGTGGATACTAAAAAATTCCAAAGATCTTTTAGAGTACATACAATCTAAGACTCTTTCATCATGCAATAGTATTAAAACATTTGACTTTTCTTCACTTTACACAAGTATACCCCATTCCAAACTAAAAGACAAATTGAAAGAGTTGGTCCTGCTTGGTTTCATAAAAAAGAATGGCCAACGTAGATCTTATCTTAGGGAGGGATAAATTGTACTTTGTAAAAAAACCACTCTAATTCAATAACAAAATCTCTGAAACTGACATTATCAAGATGCTTGATTTCTTGATTGACAACATATTTATTACGTTTGGACGTGTTTTTCATTAAACAATCTGCATTCCCATGGGAACCAACTGTGCTCCTCTTCTTGCCGACTTTTTCCTTTATTCATATGAGGCTGATTTCATACAGGAACTTCTTAGGAGAGGGATAAATCCTACTTTGTAAAGAATCACTCTGATTCAAACAAAAAATTCTCTGAAACTGACATTATCAAGATGCTTGATTTCTTGATTGACAACATATTTGTTACGTTTGGAGGACGTGTTTTTCAACAGACTGTCGGAATTCCAATGGGAACCAATTGTGTCCCTCTTCTTGCCGACTTGTTTCTTTATTATTATGAGGCTGATTTCATACAGGAACTTCTTAGGAAGAAAGATAAGTAAGCAATATCCTTTAACTTTACGTTCCGCTATATAGATGATGTTCTCTCACTAAATAATACAAAATTTGGTGACTATGTTGAACAAATCTATCCCATCGAACTAGAGATAAAGGATACTACAGACACAGTTAAGTCTGCCTCATATCTTGACTTACATCTAGAAATTGACAATGAGGGTCGGTTGAAAACATTACTTTACGACAAAAGAGATGATTTCAGCTTCCCAATTGTGAACTTTCCATTTCTATGTATCAGTTTGTTTTCGATCGGTGAGCTTGACTGTCCCTCTGGTATCTTTCGTCCCTCTTTTGGGAAGAAAGAAAAGAAGTTAGCAGTATCCTTTTACTTCACTTTTCTCTATATATACGATGTTCTCTCATTAAATAATTCAGTATTTGGTGACTATGTTGAATCTATCCTATCGAACTTCAGATAAAGGATACAACAGATACAGTTAAGTCTGCCTCATATCTTGACTTATATCTAGAAATTGACAATGAGGGTAGGTTGAAAACAAAACAAGATAGATGATTTCAGCTTCCCAATTGTGAACTCTCCATTTCTATGTAGTATGGAGAGTTGTCTCATTGGCACTCATACCACATTTTCTTATTTCTAGAAACATTCCAGCAGCACCTGCATACGGACTATACTTGTATATGTCCCAGTTGATACGATATTCCAGGGGTTGTATTTCCTATCATGATTGCCTTGGTTGCTACTCACAAGGAAGCTATCAAACCAAGAGTTCCAATTTGTGAAGTTGAAATCATCTCTTCGCAAATTTTATGTACACCATCACAAGTTGGTTGACCGTTATGGAATATCTGTTTCACAGATGACGACAGATATGTTCCAATTGTCGTAACTACAATCCTGTCCCCTTTGTCCCGAATTTGACCTACAGAATCACCGGGTTTGTACTAACATGAGCAAGACGACGGGTGTCACATGTGGAGTAGGATCTGCTTACCCTTCCGGAGCATCTGAGATCACCCCCAGTTTTTGGTGGGGTTCGTGTTGCTCAGTACTGTTGTTTGTCTTTTTCTTTTTTAGCCATGGCATTGTCAGTTTATTTTCAACTATGAGTTTAAATGTCCCTTTAGTATCTTTTGCCTCTCTTTTAACATTTCTAACAGACATGTACACCTTACAATTATTCCATACATCAAACAAAGTTGTCCTATTGATTATAGTACTTGAAAAACAGACTAAAACACAAAAATTGACATTGACCAATGAACCATGAAAATGAGGTCAAAGTCAGATGATACCTTCCAGACCTACAAGCTCATGTTACAATCATTTCATACACCAAATATGCTTGACCTATTGCTATGAAAAACAGACCAAAACACAAAAACTTAACATTGACCAATGAATCTGAGGTCAAGGTCAGATGATACCTGCCAGACATGTTCACCTTATAATTATTCCATACACCAAATATAGCTATTGGTATTTGCAAAACAGATCAAAACACAAAAACTTAACATTTACCAATGAACCATGAAAATGAGGTCAAGCCAGATGATACCAGCCAGACAAACATGTACACCTTACAATAATTCCATACACCAAATATAGCTGACTATTGCTATTAGTATTTGAAAAACAGACCAAAACACAAAAAACTTAACATTGACAAATGAACCATGAAACTGGGGTCAAGTTCAGATGATACCAGCTTGATTGACATGTACACCTTACAATCATTCAATACAACTAATATGTTTGACCTGTGGATAATATTTGTCATGTAATGTTTACATGTACAATTGGGTGTTCCTAACCTCCAGGATAACCTCAAATCAAATCTAAATATAATGTATACAGGTTTAACTCTGCCTTTCTATATTGTATGCAGATGTCAATCTTAATTACAATGCTAAGGCAAACGTTTATACAAGCAAAGCAAGCAAGTCAACCAAAGTCTTACTCTACAAGCATTAGGAAATTAGCTCTAAAACCCATTGAAATTCGTCAGAAATATGCAATTCAAAGTGTTTCATCAAATGCTCCACAGGGTGCAGCTTGAAACGACTGTGGAGGTCGAACCCTGAACAGTTGGGGAAAGTATGGACACAACATTCAAGCTTGATACAGCACTGAATTTGGACTGTGATTAAATATTTGACACAGTGTAGGTTTCTGACACACAGAATGAATGTGGTCTTAAAAATTTGAAATATGACATTTACCTATTATGGTCCAATATCCAAAATCAAATTACATGGTTAGATTCGGCATATCAAAGAACCCAAGAATTCAACTTTTGAGGTATGAAGCCTTGTGGTTCAATTTCATAGAGATCCATACACATATACTCAAGTGATTGTCCTGAAACAAGAAAAATGCTTGTTTTTGGCCCCTAATTCCTAAACAGTTAGGACAATAATCCCTAAAATCAATTCCAACCTTCCTTTTGTGGTGTGGTACAATTTCATAGAGATCCATACACTTATACTCAAGTTACTGTCTGGAAACCAAATGTCTCTGGACGAAGACGTCATACCATTATACGACTGCAAAAATGTTGTGGCCGTATAAAAAGGGTTAGTAGTACAATGCAATACTATACAGCTGCACATCAATTCATTTTCTTTATTATAATACATCATAATACAGGTAATAAACATAAGCAATATTCATTTTTAAGTTTCTTTATAACAGTAAAGTGCAAACAAAATAATATTTATTTGATAATGAAAAAAAAGTCTAATGATTGGTCGAGTGTATGTATCAAAAATACTAAAACAACAGAAAACATAGGTAGGCTATGATTACAGAGTTTGCTTCATTCTACACAATATCTTTTAATGATTCAGTCATGTACAATAATAAAAGGGTACTTTTATTGTAATTGTCTGAACAACAAGTGTTTCTAACAATGAACAATTATCATCAAGAAGAATGGACCCTTTGGCAACTCATTTTCAGAAATATTTTTGTTGTTTCGGATTAAAATATATTGAAAATTCAATGTAAAACTTGAATGAGGTTAACCTAAACCAAAGTCAAGGAACCTAAAATAGTTCTTTTTTTCTAAGAAACAAAACCTGCATTACATTTCACATTAGTCTCAAATTGGTTTTTACAATTTAACCAATACTGTTTATTTATTGTATAATCAATGCTACAGATAAATAAATATTGCAATGTCAGAATCCAGATTGCAAAATAATTTTTGTATAAAATCCAAAATGGACTGATAAAACATGAAATAACAATATTTGTATATAGATCTTGCATGTACAATATTTTGTATAGATCTTGCATGTACAATATTTAAACTGATATTGTATATTTATGTTTCACTACAATTTCATAATTTTAATTTTACTCTTGAAAAAATGGCTCATAATTGTTTACAGCTTTGTTCAAATTTATTTTTTTAACATTTTTTTTTCCATATTTAAGATATTTAGCTTAAGTTCATGTCAAAATGAAAAATGTTTAGATTGAAAGCTGTAAACAACAATGAATCATGGTCATGGTTAAAATCATATATATTTTAAAACCAATACATATATCACCATTTAGAAAATGTAAATCAATAAAATCACAAAAAAATGATAGAGTCTGTTTCCCTCTTACAGATCAAGTAAAAAAAACCTATAAAAAGGTTCTTTATAAAGAATCCAGCCTATGTTTTTCAATATAATAGTATGTAAATAATGAAGTGTGTAAATGAATAAATATAACAACACTGAAATGTTCACAATGATAAAATATAATGAAAAGTTTCTATAGCAAAGTACCATATTGAATAATTGAAAAATCCACTCTTTTTATTTTTTCTATCATGTCCTAAAATCAAATATATCTGTTCTGAGTATTTCGGTTTAAATTTTTTTATATAAATTAAACCTTACAGAACTGGAATTATTTGTTTGCTTTTCAATATTTCATAGATGAATTAAAATATAAAAATCATACAAATGGGTAAACAAAATGTTAACTTAATAACTTACTGCAGCTGTTATATGTAAGTTAAGGAATCTGTATGAAAACCAATTTAATTCAGCCTCCATGATTATCACATACAAAGTTAACAGTGTCTTATCGTTCACAAAAAACTCAGGGGTCTTGGTAGTTTTTGACTGAAAACCCTGAAAGTAAAAAATACAAATGCATCTACATAAAATTCAAAACTCAAATGTCCAAAGTTATTATATTCTGACTAGCAAATTTACATATATATAATTTCAATGTTGTATGTGAGCTTGTATTTTAATGGCCAGAATTCCACTTTTAAAAGGATAGTATCCCTGTCCCCTTCACTATATACTAAAATAAAACCTTCAATATGTCTTCCTCCCTGAAAATGACCCCATCAATGGCATTGGACCACCTCTTCCTCCACCTCTCTGTTTATTTTGTCCTCCTCTCCCTCTCTGGTTATTTTGTCCTCCCATTGCTCTCTGATTTTGATTTCTACCTGCCATTAGTGACATATTTGGTTTCTTGAATACTGAATCATCCCGTAAGGAATCTACAAGGTAACTTTTTAATGAATTTCACAATCTACACAAACAACAACCACATATATTTTAAATCATACTTAACCTCCTATTTTTGTAAAATAAATATTTTGCCTTGCAATGGCTTGCATGTGTATTTCATGAAACTTCAATGCTGTAGTTTGGTTAATACTTTTAACATTGCTCAACATATAATCATGTATTTTGTTTCATATCTATGGTGGACAAACAATCTAATGTATTTATCATGAATAGAACAAACTGTATTGATGAATAATCCAATATTTATATGTATAAACAGCTAAGATATTGTGTATTCTACAGGTATTCAAGTTTGTATATGTTAACAAGAGTGCACATGTCGCACCAGCTTTTCTCAAGGTATTAAACTTTTGTCAGTTCACTTGTCTCATTTAATAAATACAATAGCTGTTGTTCACTGGGTCCTTCAAATTTTTTCTAAAAGAAATCCATCACTTACTGATTAATTTACCTGAAGAAAAAATTATCTTCCAAGTGGATGAAAATACATGTAGGAGAAATTTGAAGATATTTTTCTGAGCCAGTACTTTAGTATTACTCTGTCATGTCTGTAAAACCAATGAGTACCTGATTAGTAATACTTCACTGATTTGACATCCCTTGTTTTTAAGCTCTGCTTTTTTTGTGTGCTATATAAATTATCTGTAAAGACTGGGCAATAAATGATAAAATTTGTATGAAGACTTTTAAAGTTTCACATATAAACTACTGATGATATCTCATGTGTCTTCCTGTTAAGTAAGTATTGACCAACTATGAGTATAAGCTACTAAGGCCATTTATATATTACCTTACCTTGCATGCTTGTATCCATCAAATAATCATTATATGTTCTTTTCATTGGTTCTTCTGTAAATTTACGTTTCTTGGGTGAAAACATCTCACTCATACCAGAGGATCCCTTACTGCTGTATATATCTGGATAACTAATCGGCTGATTTCTATCAATACTCATCAGGTCTGATTTATCGTTGTAACCTGAACCTACATTTGTTCTCCTCTGCTGGTAAGTGTCGACCATCTCACGATGCATGTTGTCCCTACGCCTCGGGTTAAAATCATCCCCTCTACTATAATCATCTCCAGTATCTCTAACATAATCGTCGTATTGACCACCACCCATACCACTCTCCATTGTCTGTCTATAGCCAGCATCCATACTTGTTTTAGAACCTCGATTATAATTATCCATGTTTACCTCATCTGCTATGCCTCCGTAACCTTGATTGAGTCTATCAGCAAACTGATCTCTACCACCTGAATCACCAAAATCATTGCCTCCTCTCTGTGTTAACCTATTGCTTCCTCTGTCATTATACGTCTCATCACCATATCCAATATGTATATTAGGCCCTGCACCAAAATCACTACCACCAGCCATGTGTAAATCTTCCTCATTATAACTCCCAGCAAGTTTAGCAAGCCTTTGATTAGCAGGAGTATCAAACTTCCCTCTTTGACTTTGAGAATTACCTCTCATTCCCATTTCAGTATCCATAAGACTAGTTATCTTTCCTAATGTCGCTGCATTTCCAGGATTTCTGCTATCTCTTCCTCCTGATAGATTCCTTGGGTTACCTCTGCCTACTCTGTTTTAAATGAAATAAAATGAACACAGTTATCTAAGTAACGGTCTAGATATGCATAAACAGCTGCTTAAAAAGATAGAAGTAACCTGAATACTACCTGTATCTCACAGTAACATTTCAAAGAAACATAAACTTGATAGTTGTATTTCTCAATTGTGCATCAATTTTTCTTTTTACCCATCAACTTCCATCTGCAGTTGAATCATTCTTGACTGTTAATTGGTTGCAAATGTGAAATTTCTTATAAAATAAGGAGATGTGGTATGTTTGGCAATGAGACAACTATCCACCAGAGACCAAACTATGTAGATGCAAGCAACTATTGTTCACCGTACAGCCTTCAACAATTAGCAAAACCTAAAACCATTCCGCATAGCAAGCTATAAAGGCCCTGACATAACAAAATGTTAAACAATTCAAATGAGAAAACCAAGGGCCTTATAATGTACAAAACAACAAACATAAAAACAAATATGATATGCAGTAACAAGTGACAACTACTATATTGCAGGTGCCTGACTTGGGACAGGCACATTGAGAATGTGTGTGCCTTTGCGAGCACCCAACCTGGGAACATAAGAACAAACTATAAAAATAAGTTGAAAGGGCTGGACTCATCAGATTGATACAAAGCAAAACAAACAACTAACAAACCCACTAAAGACACAAAATTCCAATACAAGAGTACTCACAGTTACTGAAAGCTAGTTCTGAGCCAGTATCAATTTGCAGAGCCCTGGTAATCTATACATATCACAAAATAGATGAAGCTCTGGGCGTTGCAGTGAAAGAATGAGAACACTTGCTTTATACTATCTACAAAAGATCTTTTTTGCAAAATGGTGATTTGTTTTTTCAAAATTGATTAGTTTGATAGCCTCTTGCAAAATCACATTAGTTCTCTGATTTTGTCGATTAAAAGGAATGACTTAATTCAAACAGGTCCCATTAATAACAGATCTCCATAGTGATAAAATTTTACCAAATACTATTAATAAAAGATTAGGATTTTTAAAATGCATCATATTGTTAGTATTTCCCAACTCAACATTAATAAATTTTCTTTAATTCAATTTACTTGCCAAAGAATTTTACTGTGTTTAACTTCCATTGGCAAATATTACATTCATATAAGGAATAATAAAACATTTTAATGTTATATGAGTATGGATCCTAACTTGTAGTCAACATATTTTTTAATGTGGTAGTTCACATGGGAACAGTGTGCAGGAAGACATGTCACCCTACCTGAAAATATTATTCTGACTTCAAGCTGGCCAGTCTTTGCACTTACTACAAATGATGCATGCTTAGAAGAGAAGCAGAAAGTACAAATTTTCAAGTCTTTGGTTTGACGAGGCCAGGATTAATCCCATTACCTCCTGCACTCAAGGGGAGCACACTACCTCTGAACTACTGAGGGAGTTCCTTGCAGACATTCCAACCTTGATATCAACAAGAGTGCACACGCTGAAATGTCTAGCCTTCTTTACTGACCATTGATTTTATGTTGATAGTCCTAAATATAAAGCTTTACTAAAAGTATCACATAAACTTAACATGATCCCAGAAAATGAGGTCAAGATCAGATAAACCAAACCGGAAATACACGTACACCTTACAATCATTCAATACACCAAATATAGTTGACCTATTGCTTATAGTTTCTAAGAAACAGACTTAAACAGGAAAACTAAACATTGACCAATGAACCATAAAAATAAGGTCAAGGTCAGATGAAAATGCCAGACAGACATGTACATCTTACAATCAATCTATGCATTAAATATAGTTGACCTATTGTTTATAGTATCTAAGAAACAAACTTAACCATGAAAACTTAACATTGACCAATGAACTATGAAAATGAGGTCAAGGTCAGATGATATCTGCCAGACAGACATATACACCTTACAATCATTCCATACAACAAATATAGTTGACCTATTGGTTATATTTTAAGAAAAACAGACCAAAACACAAAAACTTAACACTGAGCAATGAACCGTGAAAATGAGGTCAAGGTCAAATAAAACCTGCCAGACTGACATGTACATTGTAAAATATTTCCATACACCAAATAATTTATAGTTGACCTATTGCATATAGCATTAGAAAAAAAGACCAACACACAAAAACTTAACTTTAACCACTGAACCATGAAAATGAGGTCAAGGTCAGATGACACTTGCCAGTTGGACATTTACACCTTACAATCATTCCATACACCAAATATAGAAGACCTATTGCTTATAGTATCTGATATATGGACTTGACCACGAAAACTTAACCTTGTTCAGTGATCCATGAAATGAGGTCGAGATCAGATGAAAACTGTCTGACGGGCATGAGGACCTTGCAAGGTACACACATATTAAATACGGTTATCCTATTACTCATAATAAGAGAGAAATTAACTTTACAAAAAATCTGAACTTTTTTTTCAAGTAGTCACCAACCATGAAAATGAGGTCAAGGACAATGGACATATGACAGACGGAAACTTCATAACATAAGGCATCTATATACAAAGTATTAAGCATCCAGGTCTTCCACCTAGGAAAATATAAAGCTTTTAAGAAGTTAGCTATCGCCGCCGCATCACTATCCCTATGTCGAGCTTTCTGCGACAAAAGTCGGAACCCAGTGTCTCGCCTACTTTTGCTGTTGTCTTTGTTTATAGTGTGATAGGGGAATGCACATAATAGATTTACAGTTAATGAAATAAAATGTTTGAAATGTATAAAAAAAGTTATGCTTGTAAAAAATGAATACAGTATGCAATCAAATCTATAGATTGTCTGGAAGACAAAAGTCGCAGGCTCAACAAAAATGGGGAAAAAATTATTAAAAATTTAAAAAAAGAAGCTTCTGTCCAAGTTTGGTACAAATCCAGGATGGTTTATGAATCAAATAAATGTTTTAAAAACTTTAACTGCAGACTGTATGTAAAGTTAACTGGAAAAAAACTAAGTCCATTCATAAGTAATATACGGAAAAACAGGAAATAAATTTTTACAAAATTTCCTTATAGATACTAGCTTTTGATAATAAACAAGCTTCTGTCCAAGTTTGGTACAAATCCAGGATAGTTTTAGAAAGTTATTAAAATTTTTAAACTTTAACCACAGAGTGAATGTAATGTTAACTGGCAGAAAAACTAAGTCCATTTATAAGTAAAATACGGAAAAACAGGATTTTTTTTTTTACAAAATTTACTTCTGGATACTATCTTATGATCATGATGATCATAAACAACCTTCTGTCCAAGTTTGGTAGAAATCCAGGATATTTTAAGAAAGTTATTAAAATTTCAAAAACTTTTAACCACAGAGTGAATGTAATGTTAACTGGGAGAAAAACTAAGTCCATTTATAAGTAAAATATGGATAAACAGGATTTTTTTTTACAAAATTTACTTCTGAATACTATCTAATGACCATAAACAAGCTTCTGTCCAAATTTGGTAGAAATCCAGGATAGTTTAAGAAAGTTATTAAAATTTCAAAAACTTTAACCACAGAGTGAATATTTGTGGACGCCACCCCCGAGTCGGAATGTAGGATTCCTTATTACAGGACATACCTTTTGTATTAATTATTAATTTGTTTTTGTCCTTAACGTGTATGAACTATATGGCACTGGACATAAAGAAAACAGCATACTTTCCTATTAATTTTGGTGTTAGCTATGAGTTTAATTTCAGTGCACTACGCAGCAATCCCCAAATCTTAATAAAAATATAGATTTGAATAATTAATAACACTGCATATTGTTTTGCTTTTTGTGTTTGGTATACTAATTACTATATCTTGTCCAAATCTTCTGTTAGGAAGGGTGCAGAAAACTTCCATTTCACTCAAAATTTTGTAAAAGAAAAGGATCTGCTGGATTGGCTTAAATTTCTGAGACGTCTTGATAACAAATTATACGTACCTCCTCAAACTTTGTTTCCATTATAAAATCATCCACACCCGACTTAAATGTTGTGATTTTGCTTTGCAGTAAAATATGTTTCAAGAAATTGCAGTTCATACTAAACAAATAAATCACTTAGTAAAATATTTTATCCAACTGCTAGTTGGAGACTGCAGCAATGTGGCAATGTTGACAAGTAATTACACATAACTTTCAATTCTCATTTGGTTGTCGAGAGATATCTCAAATTTAATCAATTTTCTAATATCTTTTGGTGTTTTTATTTGTGTGGTTTGGTTGTCTCATTGAGGTAAACGCAAAATCTCCTTTTATTCATACTATTAATTTTTTATTGGCTTCAACTTACCAACAACATTCCTAATCAAGTGTATACATGCTGAAACGTCCAGTTTGCTTATAAATGAATTATATATATGGAGTCTATTAGAAAAATATTTTAGCAAATGTATCTAAACTGATCAATGAACTGTGTGAATAACAAAGTTCAGGCTACTTACATCAGAAAGTCATGGTCATCTTACTCGACTAAATAGGCCAAATATAGTATAAATACATCAAAGTAACTGAAAAACTGACCTCAGCCAAAAAAAATAATATTGTTTGTTGAACAATGAAATGAGGACAAGGTCAGGTGGCTTGACAAGTATTTGAAATATTGGCTGTATTATTCCTACAGAAGCACCAACTTGCAGAATGTCTTGATCTAGCAGTTGGATAATTTACATTATCAACTGATCAGTTTGGTAACGTTAACAATATATCAAGACAAAGACAAACTACAATACTAATTCAAATCATTAACAAAACAGAAAACACTACTGTAAACTTTTTGTAAAAAAAAATGTCAGATATAAAAGGAACTCTTATTATTTTAGTGTATGTACAAGTAATAATAAAATGCATCATTTCACTTGAAATATACTCTTTTGTGTCTTACCTTCATTTGATCATTAATAAATGTGTATGTGTATACCTTTTCCTGCATCACAACTTCTCTCTGCATACATATAGCTGCACTGTATATCTGCAGTATTACAAAGATTGAGTATCCTCATGGGATTCAAATCCAAATACTGATGTTTCAGAAATTATTTCATTTGGTCTGCATGATAACATGCCTCAGGTTTCAGAACCAGTCTTATTCTGACAGGAGGCATGGTTTTAAACATGAATACAGATGCTAATCTGTATATATTTAAATGCCATGTATATTCCAATGGAACAGGAATGTACAGATATGCCTTGATGGGCAGTGACCTGTGAAACTTTGACAATTAAATACCACAGAAGAAGATTAACAAAAGATGAAATTATGAATTAAAATTTTTCTCCAATTATCACAATTTTTGAAGACCAATCTCTGATGAGTCCAATCATGCCATTGAAGGTCAGATTGTTCTTACAGTATATTCTGTAAAAATCTTTGTGGAAAGGAAAGTGTCAAGAATCTTCTTTTATTGAAACCAAAAACAGGTAAATTAAATGTCCACTCATGGAATTAGCTACCCATTTTGACAGTGTATAATTCAGCTTTATAGATAAATATGTCACCATATTCAACACATTACTAAGTAGTGTCAAATGTTGTGTAATCTAGTACATTGTATGTAACAGGACCGTTTTTGCTCTCTACCTTCAGTGTCAATTTCCAATGCACGTTTGCTTGCTAAAACAAATACATGTATCAGAATAAGGACCTACTATAACTGTTCTTGGCAAATGACAATTTTGAGGCCAATTCTGATGAATGTTTGACATACATGTATGTGCAAACTGTGTCATCTACTTTTATGAGTAAATGGACAGAGAAATTTCAGCTTGCATGCAAATGGAGAATTTGACACAAATCAAGTATTCCATGTTCCATGATGCTGAAAGTGGTAGCTTTCATGTACTTTTCATCAGCCGGAGTGGATATTAATCGAGATTTTTCACAACATTATCAATTTAAAATCATTGGGTCATCCAATGAGTGAAGAAGTTTGAATCAACTCAGTACCATGTATCATTAAAATAGACCAGTTTTTGTATTTTAATCCAAATTAAACCCTTATACATCTGTTCCAGTAAATCTGTGATCTTAAATTAAAGGTATTTACATTTGACTATCAACTGCATCAAGGGCTGACTCAAACAAGTCCACAACAGAATCTTTCTGGTCGTTTGGTCCACTGTAAAAATAGGAAAATCATGCTTACAGGGACAATTCATCAGATGGTTAATTTTCCTAGCAAAGCTTGATGTTGAGTATGGTAACAGTTGCTGCCTTTTTAGAAAATTTAAGACCCATGTAATGCAATGGCTATAAAACAATGTAAAAGTTATATCCAGAGGTTTTAAATGTGTCCTTGACAATATGTTATTTAGTTGTAGTCTGCACATATATGTAAGCTGGCAAACAAAAACAAAAAAATCTTCATGAAAGATATATGAATATCTTCATTAAAGATATGTGTGCCATATACTTATGATTGGGAAAAAGACAATTGTATGTATATCTTTAAATAGGGATTAAAGTTACAACATCAAGGGATAAAATGTTATTTGCCTAATATCCACTGGCAAATAATTCATTCATATTCAGGATGAGTAAAAAATTTAAAAGAAGTTTGGACTACATGAACACGGGTCAGAAGTTTTGCCTTGCAATAGGTTGTCTTCTTACAGACCCATGAATGAATTATTGCAATGTTTTTTTTGAATTCCACACAAAATGAAGGAACACCTTAATAGCCATTGATGCATTACAAATAAATTCTCAGATCAATTTAGGCAAAAAGCAAATAAAGTTTTAATTTTTTAATCTAGAGATTCAAATTTGCATTGCCAGGTTATCACAGACGTGTTATGTTTGGTATGTAAATTTAAATCAATTGTTCATTGTAAATAATGTATTCTCACATTGATGTAGTAGTACTGGACAAAATCATTTAACAGATAACATAAATCGTCAATTTTTCACATTTATAGCATCTCTATTTAGCAACTTTATATATTGCTACAATTAATACAGAACACATGCAAGTCATGTATTTTGTTTGATGAGATTTATAGTGCTTCTGTGAAAACAATTTGGTTACACATAACACAGGCAAGTCATGTGTTCTGTTTCATGAGATTTATAGTGCTACTGTGAAAACAATTTGGTAATAAAGAACACAGGTAATTCATGTGTTCTGTTTCATGAGATTTATAGTGCTACTGTGAAAACAATTTGGCAATACAGAACACAGGTAATTCATGTGTTCTGTTTCACGAGATTTATAGTGCTACTGTGAAAACAATTTGGTTACACATAACACAGGCAAGTCATATGTTTGTTTTATAAGACAAGAAATATTTTGATCCAGTTTGTATAAAAAACAATAAACTGGAATGTAATCATATTGATGAGATGGTTTCCCAATCTCATCATAAAAATATTGAAGCATTAAAACCATAAGGCATTCATTTTATAACTGGAATGTAATCATATTGATGTGATGGTTTCCCAATCTCATCATAAAAATATTGAAGCATTAAAACCATAAGGCATTCATTTTATGACAATATGGTAGGCTTCAAATATTTTGGAAGAAGTGGATTTACCAATTAATTTAGTAAATGATTGCTTCTTCAATAAGTTAAGACAGCTTCTGCACAGATATGCAAAGAATGTTTCATTTGGTGGTATATATATACATACGCCAATGAAACTGACTGCTGTAAGTGCTGTTTGAACCTTATTTATATCAACTACTGATATTTTTATCAAATCTTGCCTTTCTGGACAAAGGTATCTAGAGAAAAAAAAACAAGCAACTGTTACCAATAAATGACACATAAATAAAATTATTTATTTATTACACAATTTCTTTGACAACAATGATGAAACAATGAATATTATTTTAAGAAATGAAATATGAAAATCTGTAAGACCTTCTACATAAATGTTGAAAAAAGTGAAACCAATTTTCTAAACAATGTAAATTTGTTCAGATTTTAGTAATTAAATGGAGTTTGTGAGTAGTATTAATCATGAAATTTTGAATTCAAAACAATGATTTCATATATTGATTATTAAAAAAAATGAAACTGAATATGTACAAATATTAATCACACTTTTAAAATAAAATATAAAAGTGATAACATTTTCATAGCTGACAACATGGTGACAATAATCCACTAAAAGTCTTTATAATCCATCCATATCAGATAAATGTCTGTAAAACCAGGCAATAATTCACTTTTAATACCTTCCAAATGATCCCCTTCTGTTGTTACCCTGTAATAGATAAGACATTTTAAAGCATATTTACATAGATAAATCTATTCACCATGATATAGCCTTTTTGCATTGATATGGCGTAAAGCAATCACAGATAAACTATCAATTATTTTTGGTCTTTCTCTACAGCCAGACATTTTGTTGTCATTTATCATCTTATAAATATTCACATGCCTGTTTTAAATCAAGAACCATCACAATGGTTTTCTCATGTCATATCTTAACGTTTTGTTTTAATACTTTGAGAATGTGGGTGGTCATGGCAGATCTTTCTGTTTTAATTAATATCTTTTGAAGAGTGGATAATTTGTAGCATAAAATAATGCAACGACCTGTCTGTTGCCCTCTTAGAGGTCATATGATTATTTTTGTCATTGAGTTGTTGTCTCATTGTTGTTTCTCCAAATCACCTATATTTCTATTAAGAACAAATGCTTAATTTAACAATACCTTTCTTATGATGCTAAAATGCCCTTTCAACAACACTCATGTGTCAGTAATACATACGTAGATGCTCAACCAAAAAAAAAAAAAAAACGAAAAAACAAGAATGAGAAAAATGTTGGTTACAGTGCCTTGAATATTAATGATCACCACTACACAATATAACAGAATTGTAGTGTGGACTTATTATTGATATGTCTTTTTACATATTTGTGTTACTAGGTTGCAGTCTCATCATTGTTTACCCCCACCTCTCTTTATTTTTAAATAGTGACCAAAAATTGATAAATGGCCTTGTACTATGTTAAGGGATTGTATTGGTGAAATATCACTGACATTTAATCATAAAACTGGATGCAAAGCATAAGCAAATTGGATCATACAGACAGACTTTATTAAATCTACATGATGTAGTCACATTGGGAGGGGAGAAAAAATTAAGACATTAAACTTACCATCAAGCTCTGTGGTCTTCTTCCTTCAAAAATTAAAATAATTAAATACCAGAGTAAAAAACAATATTGCCTAAATTCTTCTGATTTAATTTTATTTCGTGTCTTATTTACTATTTACTGTTAAAGTTCCTTTGGTTTGAACCGTTCAAAAACAAATGATCCATTATTTAATATAAGAAATGTGTCAAGTATGGTGCAGTTTTTTGGGTGCAATATATTGGTTTAATGTAACTGAATGTAATTCAAAAGAAACTTTTGAAAAACTGACATTATAAATGTATTTTGTAGATTATTAATTGGTTTTTTTTTTAAACATAACTGAAATCATTTGTTATTCACAAATGTAAGTCAATTACATATTTACAAAAGTATTGTTTCATCTATGCATTAGATTTTCCAGTATGAGGTTGGCAAAATACAAAGTAAAAATAATTAACCATTTACTACAACCTACCATATGCAACTTGACTCCCTTTATTCTTTTATTTTACTTGTTTTAAAAAAAAAATCCCACATTCTGAACTTTTTAATTTTTTACCCCAGTATTTTTTAATAAAAATGTCAGTCATATTTAAATGATAGAAAATGTTAATCTTACAAACATGATGTCAATGGCTAAAATTTTCCTTCAAACTTGTTATCAAGTGATAATTTGCATACAGTTAATTTTAGATAAATAAACAAAATATAACCATGCTTGCCTAGCTGGTTTAAATTTAATACTTACCACCCATGCCTCCTCCTCCACCTCCCATGTTTCCCATACCACCCATATTTCTTCCTTGTCCATATCCACTCTCATAATCATCAAATCCACCATAATCGCCATAATCATCATATGCCATTCTTCCGCCACCCATTCCTCCTCCAGCAGACATTGCTCTCTGGTTACCCATCCTGGACATGCCTCGACCCATACCACCACCACCACTACCTCCTCCCATACCTTCTCCTCCTCCCATGTTCTGACTCATCCTCATCATAGCCATCATCTGATTCATCATTAAGTTTGGACTAACCTACAATCAAATATTCATATCAAAAGGTCAAGTTTTATGAATGGTAGATTTTTATCAGAAATCTGAGATATACAGCAGGGGTGTGGAAATATTTGATGTGAGCACTTGTGCCCTGGCAAGTAAAACTTTTAATTTTACTTGTCAAGAAGAAAAGTTATTTACCCTGAATTTAAATTTCACAAATATATCTTGAATGAAGTATTTACCTGTAAACTTATACGTTTCTTTAAACTGTTTTGCAACACAATAAAAATGGTACTTGTGATATTTACTGATTTGTAACACAATAAAAATGGTACATTGTATTTGTGATATTTGTTAATGTGTTTGAATAAAAGGAGAAATGGGGCATGCATCAATGAGATAGAAACCAATATGACAAAAAACCAAAAGACATCTAGAGGGGCAATTTTACTACATTTTTTTTTCAATACTAGGTTACATGTACTTAGTTGAAGCTAAAGATGATCAAATGAAATCAGTTGTTGAAGTTTTCAACAAATAAGGCAAAAAATTTATAATTTTCCAAAGTTTTATTTTAGAAAGCCAGGGATATCAGAACACAACTGAACTTTGAAATTCACTCTTTTGATTTTTTTTCCATACTCTTTGTCCTTTTCCCCATATAATTTATTGTCTTTACTGTAATATAACACGTTAATGGATGCGGTGTAAGCATAACAATATTTGTTATGTATATGTACTACCAGTCCTGACTTGCTGCAATATTTTTACATTTTCCAACAAATATTTCAAATGAAAACAAATAAATTGAACTATCCGATGAAAGATAGCAATAATAAAAAAAAAAAAAGAAATGGATGGTTTTACATTATAGAACTAGTCAGACAGTAGCAGTAAAGGGACGACCATTTGATATTTGGGGGAGGATGAGTTGCAGGAGGATTTTTTTGCATATTTTTAAACACTTCACCGGAAGATATTCTGGAGATGTACAGAAGAGAGCAATAAAAAACACCCCTTTTTGATAAATTTCTTTTAATGATCACTTATTTCTTGCATCAATCAAGTAAAAAGTTGAACTGCTACTTGTACTCACTCCTTGATCTGCGTTGCTCATATTACTCATTCGTCCACCGCCCATGCCACCACCATAGTTTCCACCACTGCCACCATAGTTTCCACCACCACCACCACCATAGTTTCCACCACTGCCCCCATAGTTTCCTCCTCCTTGTCGTCCTCCAAATGCTCCCATTTGTCTTGCTTGATTGAATTTCTGTTTTATAGCCTGTCTTTTGTTGTTAGCTTTTCCAGTACCACCACGCCCTCTTGGTTGGTTCTGAACTTTTTTCTGTCCTGCCATTGCTTTACGATCCTGTTCTTTCTTTTGCTTTTCTTTCTCTTCCTTTTCATAAGCATCATCTTCATCTGTAAAAATTAAGAAAACTATCATTGTCTGCAAAAATTACGAATTCTATCATTGTTTCAGACTATCAATTGACTTATCTGTCCCTTTCAGTCTGAAGAATTGCTATACTATGTAAAATACCATCTCCAGGTATTTCAATTTTGCATACAAACTGTTGTTTCTTCTACAAATCTATAAAGATAGCAACATGACTAATGCACCTATGGTACTTCTGAAATTTTGTACATAAAATAAAATGAACTAGTCTAGCTCAATACATCCTACAAACATTAAACTCTTAAATAAATTAAGGAGTTTCTAGGCCTCAATTTGGTAGTCAGCATACATTGTTTTGTGTTCATTCAGAGCAATAGACGGGCATAGCTTTGCTATTTTTGAACCCTGATTATTTTAAAGCGCACATTTTACAGGGTTCCCATTAAGACACATATACGCGTCCTGGACGCATGAAAATCAAGCTGGACGCGTCATTTTTGAAACCCGTGAGTCCCCGGGACGTGTCCTCCTTGTATCCCCTGAGTCCCAAACACATCGTTTTGCCAAAAAGATTCATGATCGTCGCATTGTTTTGACAGGAAACTATACCGGAAGTCGATGTTGAAAAATTTATGTAATGCGTAGATGAATATTTTTGTTGACTGATAACTAATTTTTAAAATTAAACGTCTTTCATCCTAAAATATATAATTCTGTTCAAACTGATTAATAAATATGTAATAGTTACCAATTTTTTTAAAAATTTAGGAGTATTTGAAAAGATTTAATATTTCCACTTGTTGAACATCACGTATTTATCAATTGAACCAAAGAAAGTAAAAAATTTTGAGAACTTGAAATGAAATGATATTATATTTCATAACTGTTGCTACTATGCATAAAATAGATTATAGAACAAAGTTGATTTGAAATTTTACTGATAAGAATAATTATACTGGTCTTCGAATTATTTCACATTTTTCTCGTATTGTGCATGTTGAACATCCCGATCGTAAACAAGGTGAGAAATGTTTTGAATGACGATTAAAAAATGATTAAAGAATAATTACTATTTAGCCAAGCTCAATATTTTGAACAGTGTTCACTTTAGATTTGCTTGTTTTTATATACATGAAATGCATGTATCTCTTTTTTTTTGTGTAAAAACAATGATACCAATGTATCAAGGGATTTGTAATAAGAATATTTTTTTAATTTATTGCCCTGTATTATATATTTAACCTGTAAATGGCTGCTTTAGGGGGCTATGTTCAAACTTTGGTCTACTATCTTTCTACCTCCTTTTAGGTCTGCCTTTTGATATTGATAAAAATTATGACTTGAAGAGGAATAGTTTTAGGATGCCATAAGGTTATTTAATTTTTCAGTTGTTATCCTGGTGTCCAAAGTTGGATTGATTGACTGATTGACTGGTGTTAAACACCACTTTCATTACTGTTGTGCTATTTCGTGATCACATGTTGATCATATAATTAAAACTACCAATCAAACATGCATCGTTTTAGTTTTATTTCATCATATTTCATCATATTATAAGACACAAAAAATTACACGCATCCTGGACTCATCAAAATCTATTGGGACTCACCATAAAAATTCCTAGTGAGAACCCTGCATTTTATATCCTCATTATCCTACTTAATATAAACTAGCTTTAATTGGTTTATTTATTGCATTGGATTGCTGTCTCAATGACATATACACCATATCTCCTTCCATTTCATATTGCAAACTACTTATCATGAAATAAATCAACTTTGCAAAATAAAATGTCAAATATCTAAAATTACTAACCTTTGGTTCCACCAACCAGGTATCTATTATACAACTTGCACTTGACTTCTCCAATCTCGATATCTGTGTTGTCAGTATGGCATCCTTTAGCTGCCTTCTTCGAACGGAATTCTAAAAATGCTGCCCTAAAATCATTGGAGAAAAATGTATTTCTGCTTTAACTAATATATTATGTTATCACTGCTAATATTCATTGCACTGATATAATAATCATTAAAATTTAAACAAAATAATCAAAATTAGTATAGTCATTTTAAAGGCAAAAAAGGAGAAGTTGGCTTGACACAAAACAAAAACAATTTATATAACAGAAAAAGTATTATTAAGATTCAATGATGTAGACCTTTTCGTGAAAATATTTCAAACCAGGAAAGCTTGCATAATAATTGTAGTTTATGTGAGAAAACATGACAACCTCTTGAACCTTTATGTACTTTTTTAGGCAAAAAAAAAAAAAAATTATTAACTTCTCCCGCTTCTTCACATGGACCATTTTTATATATTTCAAAATCAACAAAATTTGGGTATTCTTCTTTTCCGGTTCTGTTTCAAAATTACAAATTGGATTCTTGATCAATGAAAAGGTCTTATAATATGATTTCCAAAGTGATTTAGTAGTATATTTGGAATAAAAACATGTGACAAAAAACTTTTTTGTGTCATGCCAGGAAGTTTCTAGCGACCAAGAATGAGACCCTATAGTTGTGCCTTTGAAACAAACATCCAAACTAAAAATATTGCCATTGAATGCATCTTTAAACAGATATAAAAAAATAATCCTCCCGACCTCATTTCTTTTATTTTAAAATTGGTCTGAGAAGCTAATAATTTTGTAATGGTCTTAAAAAAATCCTGTTGCCCAATCAAATTCAATTTATTTGGAATAGAATATTGTTGAAACTAAAAAGAAGTCTCAATCACAACCAAACTGCTGAGCATAAACTAGTGTGCACTTATATTTCTATATCCCCAACTAATCTGTCAGATAATATAATTTAGCAGTTCTTCAAAAAACATAGCTGTTGCCAGATTCTATTGCTGTGCCTGTAGATTTATGTGCAGTCCTATTCTTTGTGGTTGCATAATGATAAATTACAGAACAAGTTTGTGTTTTCTTCCAATTGACCAGATAATAGTTATGGCTCTTGACTCTCTCTTTCTTGTTGTCAATGGGTGTATTTGTGTAATATACACACACACACCTAGTTTTTCTTATATCTTATATTTTTTACTGGAAGTTATACTTGTAGTTAAATTATGTTTGCAAATCTTTTTTCTCCTAAAAGTTGACTGATATTTTATTCTTTGTGTCTGTCATTACTTTTGAGTAGGTTGTTTGAAGTGATGTCATTGGCTGAGTGGAAAGTCACTTGAGTCCATCTCTTTTCTCATGTTTATACTTTAATTATACTTACCAGTACTAGAATATTTGATAAATATCAAATCAATAAATCAGTACTTTAGTCACCTATTTCCAATATATATAAACCTAAATTGATATACTTTTAAGCAAGAGCAAAGTAAATAAGAAAAGCTAATTGTATAAAATCTGAATACACTTTAAAGTCCTCTGTGGGTGAAATTACCCATAATGCAAATGGTAATAATCACTTGCAATGCAATTCAGCACAACATCTTGTACCAAAAATATGTTGTACTGTTCAGTGTTGATTGGTTTTGTAGAGGATTCAAACCCCTTGGCTGATATGGAACTGTCTGAACAGTACTTAGTATCTCTTTAGTACAAGATGTAATGTAGGACTTGTGGGCATATTTGGATTATACAATCTTCATATCAGTTTACATAATCTAAACTGCAAATGAAGAATTCTTAACTGGATAGCCAGTGCATAGTCTGAACATTAGAGAATTCTAGGGTACAGTCATTGTAATTTGTCTAATGACTGAAAATGTCAGCTATAATTCTGATGCAATGAATTTGAAACAGTATAAGTTAGTCATTTTGAGTAATCTTTTCTGCATTAAAGCCATTATTTATCCTCTAGAAAGCACATATCAAATTAATATTAGGTGTTTCTGGAGGGATATCTTTTCATGATTGAAAAGAACTGAAGGTCAGGTAAATCAAAAGCAGCTGGTTTCAACTTACCCCATGTTATTGCCCTCTTCATCAAGAGGGATTATGCAAATTGGGCAATCAAACATTGCTCTGAGAACTTCTTCAGTAGTTTCAGGTGGAATATCATAAAGAAATAATACTTTATCAAATTGAAGTGCTGAAAATAAAAATCTCATCACATGACTCATGGGGTTCAAATGAACCTATTAATGCAACCGTCTTTCTCTAAAGAGACAAAGCTATGTGACCAATAGTAATTTGGTCCAAAGGTGTAATGAAGTCAGTCCGATTTTAAATAAATAAAAAAGCAATTTTTTTAATAAGTGCTAGCCATTTCCAACAAAATCTAATACTTATTTAAGCTGGACAGGGCACATTCAATATTTTTTTCATTTTCAATATTTTGAAGAAACTGGCTAGCCTTTTATAATATTACATGTCATTTATGCAAAATAAAGTATATTGTGGTAATATACATGCATACAATATATATTTTCACTGAAAACTCAATGAAAGTTTGGACATGTTTTCTGAACACAGTACAGTGTTCAGACATGTTTTCTTAACACGGTTCAGTGATTGGGAAGTCACGTTGTATGGATGTAGGTCCTTGGACTTCATGTAATATAATTCTTAAACCAGTCATTGTTTGAGTAGAAACTGAGTTTTGGCTATTGAAATTGTAAACACTGATTTAACAGAAATTTACGGAAACAGTTTCTTTGATTATAATGTCAGAAACTGTACAACTAAAAACAGCTATGATCTCTCCAATACAAGAATCAGCTGCTCTTGTAATGGGCTACTTTCAAATAAAATGAACAAGACACTTACAAGTTCTATTTCAATTATACATCATACATGATTCTTCCCAATCACTAACTGTAAATTGACCTTACAGACATTTCAAAAACAGAGAGGATGATATAGAAATGATAAAACATCATTTCATGAAAGTTAAATACCTATGTATAAACAATGATTTAATACATAATCTGATTGAAAACTGACCATAGATCAAGTTGTATGTAATGCAGTAAAAAACTGGCACACATGTACGATAGATGAGAATGATTATTAAATTCATGACAAAACTGTTTGTGCATAATGTCCTGGATCTCATCTAATGATTGGATGTCATCAGCCTTCACTTAAACACAGAAAGATTTTTTCTTTCATACTTTTAAAGGGTATTGTTCAAACTAGATTATATTGCATAAATATACATGACAAACAAAAGGTAATTATAGCCTACATTTTTTGTTGTGCTAGAGTAAGTTATGTCATTCCTTTCTAAGAGAATGTATGCGCAAATTGAAGTTCACAACATTCAAACATACTACAACTGTAAACATGTCAACATAATTCAGTTAATATGTCAAGTATTAACAGAGTTTGCTTTAAGTACGGTATACAATTTTGTATGTAATTTGGGTTGAAATTTGATCCACTGTCAAATTTGCTGTCAGATAACTTACTTCCTGGTGGTGCCGGCCCAACACCTAGTCTTCTTAATTCAAATCCTGAAACAAAAGAAACAGCAGAAAAATAATATATATAGTAACATAATTTTCAATTACAGCTTTTCTATAAAAGCATGCAAAGCAAACCTTTGATCAACTTGCTTGCTATGTTTATTTGGATGTTTGTAAACAACAGGAAGGTAATCTATTTCAGTCTGTTTACTATATACTGGAATTTGATTGGACAATAAACATTAACTTCATTTAAATGTTAAGTTTCACATTGTATGTCAATTTTTATTGTCCAATCAAATACCAAATATATTAAGCAGACTGAAACTCTGCCTACCCTTTTGTTTACAAACATCCAAGCAAACATAGCAAGCAAGTCGATCAAAGGTTTGCTTTACATGCTTTTATAGAAAAGCTGTAAAACTTTTAAACTTTATACATTGTTGTCAAAAATGAGTAGTTTCTGTTTTAATGCGTACATTGTTCACAACTTTATTAACTACCAAGAAAACAATGTCATAGTAGTATTAATAAAGCAACAAGTGATTCTAAAATAATCTGAAATGTAGTATTCATCATCATGAATTAACATGCATTAATACTTGTTTGTTTATTGATACAAAATAAACTAATATTACACCATATATACAAATACATAAGTTTGACCACAATTCTATTTTAATTTCTTTGAAAGAGCACTGCTACCATATGCTACAAAGCAAATCTTTTCTGCTACTTTACAGTAGTTCTGCTTTTTTAATGTTTTTCTTTTTTCTTTTTCGGTTCATATTTGATAGAATGTCACTTCAATTTCACATTTCTAATAAAAGCTTCTTTCCACACTATATCTACACGAAGAAAATAAATGAAATGAATATTAGCATTCCTTAAAAAGTAGTTTTAATTATGAATGTATTTTTCCATTTGCAAGGCTTCATCGCATTGTTTACAATAACTGAAAACTTACCAAGTAAAGCAGCTACAGATCGGGAACATTGTATTTTCACTTCCTTGTTGGCATGCTGAAACCTCGCCAATCTCTTCAAGATATCAATAGCATATCTGTCTTTATTTGGTAAAAAGTTTAAATGTATGGTTCTGAAAAACAAAAGGGTATTATTTTATAGATGTTTCACTATAGGTCAAAATTAAATCTGCACGGAAATGAACACCTTACAATTATTCCAAACACCTAATATAGTTGACCTATTGCTGATTCAAGTTATTGTATCTCAGAATCAGACCTAATCACGAATAACTGATCAATGAAATGAGGTCATGGTCAGGTGAACTCTGTCCGACAGAAATGCATACCTTGTAATAATCATATAAACCAAATACAGTCCTCCTGTTGCTGAACCATGAAAATTAGGTCAACGACAAGACATATGCCATACAGATACTTAATATAAGGCATCTGTTTACAAGAAATGAACTATCCAGGTTTTCTAACTTCTGAAATATATATGCTTTATCCAAAGACCAAGCACTGTCACTGCCAGATTAGCATTCCAATATCTCATATTTGAATTGGCCAACTTAAGTTAATAAATCCTACAAGAAGTTGATTCACGAATTCAGTTATATAAATGTGAACTAATTTGCTGATCTCATACTTGTCCATATTATTTTGCTGTTGATTTTTGCTCTTTACAGTTTCTTTCTAGTTATTAATTTCAAGAATAACTCCAAAACACAAACTAGAGGCGCTCAAGAGCCTGTGTCGCTCACCTGTATTTACTGATGCTTTGGAAATCATGTAAAATAATGTTAAAATCATAATTAATAGTATTAGATATTAGATATTATAATGATATCTAAGATAATAACAAAAAACTGCAAAATTTCTGTAAAATTACTAACTCAGGGGCAGCAACCCAACAACGGGTTGTCGGATTCGTCTAAAAATTTCAGGGCAGATAAATCTAAATCTGATGAACATTTTTGCACCAGTCAGATTTGCTCTAAATGCTTTAGTTTCAGAGATATAAACCAAAAACTGCATTTTACCCCTATGTTCTATTTTTAACCATGTTGGCCATGATGGTTGGGAGGCGGGGTCATCGGACAAATTTTTTAAACTAGATACACTAATAATGATTGTGGCCAAGTATGGTTAAATTTGTCTCAGTAGTTTCAGAGAAGAAGATTTTTGTAAAAGATTACTAAAATTTACGAAAAATTGTTAAAAATTGACAATAAAGGGCAATAACTCCTAAAGGGGTCGACTGACAATTTTGGTCATCACGACTTAATTGTAGATCTTACTTTGCTGAACATTATTGCTGTTTACAGTGTATCTCTATCTATAATAATATTCAAGATAATTACCAAAAAAACTGCAAAATTTCCTTAAAATTACCAATTCAGGGGCAGCAACCCAATAATGGGTTGTCAGATTTGTCTGAAAATTTCAGGGCAGATAGATCTTGACCTGATAATCAGTTTTATCCATGTCAGATTTACTCTAAATGCTTTGGTTTCAGAGATATAAGCCAAAATCTACATTTTACACCTATGTTATATTTTTAGCCATGGCGGCCATCTTGGTTGGTTGGCAGGGTCATCGGACACATTTTTTAAACTAGATACCCTAATGATGATTATGGCCAAGTTTGGTTAAATTTGGCCCAGTGGTTTCAGAGGAGAAGATTTTTGTAAAAAGCTAACGACGACGGACGCCAAGTGATGAGAAAAGCTCACTTGGCCCTTCGGGCCAGGTGAGCTATAAAATGGGTTTCAATTAAGGAAAACAACTCCTGGTTATGTTGACTTATAGTAGATCTTATTTGGCTTTAAATTAAAGCTTCCCTCTATCTATTATATGTTTTGCCAAAAATGCAACAAGAGCGCACACGCTGAAATGCCTCGCTTGCTTTACTGACCATTAATTCTATGTTAAAAGTCTTAAAGATAAGATTTTACTAAAAGTATCACATAAAATTAACATTTTTAAAGATCTACGACAATGAGGTCAAGGTCAGATAAATCCTGTCTGACAGACATATACACCTTACATTTTTTTTATCCACCAAATACAGTTGACCTATTGCTTATGGAAATTGAAAAACAGACCAAAACACAAACACTTTACATTGACCAATGAACCATGAAAATGAGGTCAAGGTCAGATAATACAGACATGTACACCTTACAATTATACCATACACCAAACATAGCTGACCTACTGCTATTAGTATTTGAAAAATTGACCAAAACACATATAAACTTAACATTGACCAATGAACCATGAAAATGTGGTCAAGGTCAGATGAAACCTGCCAGACTGACATGTAACCATTACAATCATTCCATACACCACATATAGTTGACTTACTGCTTATAGTATTTGAGAAACGGACCTAATCACTGATCCATGAAATGAGGTCGAAGTCAGGTGAATCCTGTCTGACAGACGTGTAGACGTTGCAAAGAACCCATATACCAAATATAGTTATCCTATTACTCATAAGTGAAAGATTCACATGACAAAAAACTATTTTTTTTCAAGCAGTCGCTGAACCATGAAAATGAGCTCAATGACAATGGGCATATGATAAACGGAAATTTCGTAACATAAGGTATCTGCATACATGTACAAGATATGAAGCATCCAGGTCTTCTACCATCTGAAATTATAGCTTTATACAAATAGTTTACACTTAGCCGGATAGTAATCCCTATGTCTCACATACTGTGACTTTTGTCGCAGGCGAGTCAAAATTAAGGAAAGATTTACTATAGATGATGACAGATGGTGGCATATGCTCAAATGGTCCTCAAGACCAGATCTAAAATGAGATAAAAAGACGGAAAATATCATTCTTCTAATGCAAGTTTTACTGTAGATATGGCCACCAGCAGAATGTTTAACCTCTAAACTTACCCTTTTTTTGTTTGAAAATCTATTTGTGTATTAAATGACTTGTGCAACACACCCTGAAGTTCCCTAGATGACAAATCTTTGATCTGCAAATTGGTCACCTTTACAGGTCCCCTCAATACTGAAAAAGATTAAAAAATATGTATATACATTTTGTATTTTAATATGAAGATAGTAAACTTTCAAATGGAGAGTACTTAACAAGATGATTTATCACTAAACAATTAAGTTATTAAATAAAGTAAATGAATAATGGCCAATGAAGTGATTTTCAGATAGTATAACAACAATAATGGTGTGAAGTAATAAGTTCATGCTTTAGGAGAATCTTAAGCAAAATCATTAAGAAGTTTTTGATAGGATAAATCCCAATACTGAAACGAAGGGAGGTATAATTTCCATACGTTATACACTTCAGTCTTAATAATTCTATTTTTCACACTTGTTGCAGTTTCTCATGTGGTGATGTTATTTATGACAGATATTAAGAACCATTGTTTACCATATGTCAATAGTGTTTTCACCCATTCATCCTTTTTCTCTTCAGAATCTTTGTTTTCACTTGTATCCATGGATTCATCTTTTTTTTCTTCTGTCAAAACTTGATCATCTGTCTTTTTGTCGTCTTCCTTGGCTGCTTCTTCAGCTTTCTTTTCTTCTTCTTCCTCTTCTTTTAAAAGTTCCTCTTCATTGGACCAATCTAATGTTACCATTTCTTCTGCCATTTTGAAAGTTTAAGTTTGCTGAAAAGCAATATCAGATCAATCAACACAAGACTATATTATCTACAGCTGCTTAAATGAAATTATAAGTGTCAGCTACATTTTTGTACCAGAGCTTTTGAAATCTTTTTTCGAATGTCAGATCCTTTGAGTTTTATTCGACCTACAGTTTTACGTAAAAAGGTATTGACAAATATTGCTGGTTAACACCACAACTTTTCAACTGAGATATATAAAAAAAGAAAATGAAAAGAAATATGTTTTTTCTTGCCTTTTATAATTTGAATTAACAATATTTTTTACTTGCTTATCAAGCTTATGGAAAATCTTATTATGAAAGAATAATCCAGCGAAAATAGTATATAAATAGTTCCTCAAACAACAATAAGCAATATTTCCTGAATATTATTTAAATAGGCAATAAATTCTTTTAGGTTTGGCATTCACTTACATTGAGAGCATGAAATAAGACAAATATTTTTTATTACATAAGAACAGACAAACCTGTGCACTTGGAAAAGTTTTAAATAAAATTGAGAATGGAAATGGGGAATGTGTCAAAGCATGGATGCAGGACCTAAATAATAAATTTAAATGTATTGCGTGCTTTGGAAAAATTACTTTTTGACTTGATTTTGATTGGTTTTATTTTTCAAGCCTGCAAAAGATAGATAGTTACAGTTTAAATTACTATATTGTGCTGTTGAGATCTATTTTCCATATCAATCAATAAATTCTTTACAATTATTACCCAAGGAAAACATCTCTGACATTTTCCTCAACTTATTATTTAAGCATGAAACTAGAGCCTGTGTCGCTCACATGTGTCTATGTGCATCTTCGACAATGGACACTCCAACATTGCAAACTAAATAGAATTTCTGAGCATGTTGATAGTTGTCACAAGTTTTCATGCATAGTTTTTGAAAAGTGTCAGTCTGAATCATTTGACTGACAAAAATTTGAAAATGTCTGACATATTAAAGTGAGTCAATTTTGCAATGGAATTAAAAAATTGGATTGGCAAATTTTCAAGATTGCATTATATATGTCAGTCCAAAAGTTTGGCAAGACAAATTTCTTTTCAAGATCTCCTATATTGGAGGCGAAGAACACATACAGAAAAGGAAAGCACATGTTGGTTTGTTATATTTTACCAGTCACTTGAATTTCTATTCATAAATGATTTAAAATAAATGGAGAATGTGTCCCCATGGACACAGATGATGCCCCTGCTTGCATACAATATTATAAAGGGACATAACTCAAGAACGATGAAAGTGATGCTACCCAAATTTGTACTTGATCTGAGTTTTAAGGTAATAAGTATTGTGTATAGGTTTCATAATGTTTGGTTGGGGCAAACATAAGTTACAGAACGGAAACCAAAAATTTTGCAATTTTTCGATTTATAAAGGGCATAACTCGATAATGATTAATTTTTCCATTTATAAAGTGCATAACTCGAGAATGGTTAAAGTGACCCCACCAAAATTCAAACTTGAGCTTTATTTTGTGGTAATAAGCATTGTGTACATGTTTCATAAAGTTTGGTTGAGGCAAACTTAAGTTAGAGAACAGAAACTAAAAATTTTGCAATTTTTCCATTTATGAAGGGGCATAACTCTAGAACGGTTAGAGTGACGCTACCAAAATTCAATCTTGATCTGTGTTTTGTGGTAATAAGCATTGTGTATAAGTTTCATAACATTTGGTTGAGGCAAACTTAAGTTAGAGAATGGAAACTAAAAATTTTGCGATTTTTCCATTTATAAAGGGGCATAACTCTTGAAGGTTAAAGTGACACCACCAAAATTCAAACTTGATCTGTGTTTTGTGGTTATTAGCATTGTGTATAAGTTTCACAACATTTGGTTGAGACAAACTTAAGTTAGAGAACGGAAACTAAAAATTTTGCAATTTTTCCATTTATAAACATTGATAAAGGGGCATAACTCTAGAACAGTTAGAGTGACCCTTCCAAAATTCAAACTTGATCTGTATTTGGTGGTAATAAGCATTGTGTATAAGTTTCATAACATTTGGTTGAGGCAAACTTAAGTAAGAGAACGGAAACTAAAAATTTTGCAATTTTTCCATTTATAAAGGGGCATAACTCTTGAACGGTTAAAGTGACGCCACCAAAATTCAAATGTGATCTGTGTTTTGTGGTTATTAGCATTGTGTATAAGTTTCATAACATTTGGTTGAGGCAAACTCAAGTTAGAGAATGGAAACCAATTTTGGGACGTATGTACAGATGGACAAGGGTAAAACTTAATGCCCCTCTGCTAATGCGGGGGCATAAAAATACTATGTACAATATTTTTTTTAATCTTTTACAGATAGAAAGTGTGTGGTTTTACTAAGCGAGATTCGTGTGTTTTCAGGCTTTAGAAAAATAATTACCACAAAATTTCAGCAGTACAGGGAAGAATTATTACTAATGATTTTAATAAAATGTTCTTTCATTCAAATAGTCCAAAAAATAGAATAAAAGAAAACGTAAACAAACCGACACGTTCTATACCTATTGAGAGTTATCTGTTCTAGTATTTAATGACGTCATGAGATCATTCAAAATGGCAGAATGAAATAATTAGATAATAGTGTCAAGGAAATGAATATACAAACATAAATTAGTATGTCAATATCATAGAAAAATATTTAAAGAAAAGTACTATATAATATACACTGACAAGCTATGCACAGGGGATAAACAATGACAAATTTGGAAATAAATGTGACCTGAACCTAGTTCTCAATTCCGAACGTTTAGGAATAGGAAAAATCCATAGCTATTTAGTCTGCAAGTTGTCAGAAAATATCATAAGTACCCAGAGCTACGGTTCCGCAGCTACACATTGTTATGATGAAATAGAAGTTATTACTATAAGATAAGGGAATATTTATCAACTTGTGAAGACAATAATGACGTCTTTTATGGGCAATTCATTATTAAAATTTTACTAATAATAATTTGCCGGCCTCACAACCCTCCCCCTTTTTGTGTAGATCACTAGATGCACAACACAGTGACACTGGTTATGTTCAACTGTATCTCATATGTTGCATAGTTATGATAACCTTCAGTTATCTATAATTTTGAAATATGGCAACTCATCGCATTACTGAAAAATATATATTTCTTTGCAAAATAACGCACCTTGTCTTCCTTTGACCAGTTCGAGGCTGTATATGCTGTATGAGGAAATTGATACACTGTACGCAAGAAATAAAAAAAGTTTACAAAGACAGCTTAAATTTTGATTTTTTGGCGGGATATATCTGTTCAAGTCTTGATTATTCACAACTGTCAAATATGAAATAACTCTTAATTTATTCAATACAGGTAATAAAAGCTTTACGTTTTGTATATCACGGTAAGGCAAAGTCCAAATTTAGACTGGGTCCCTGTCCTTTATCTGTTTGGCTCTGACATACCCGTATGTTGCAAAGGAGAGGCCCAGCCTAAGTCCAAATTGAACTGGATCCCTGTTGAATAATTTCGGCTAATGGTCAGACGAATAGAAAGTCACCAGTCATCGACGAAACCGGCTAATTTCCTACACGTTCTTTCCATGCTTGTATCACTTAACTGTCAATATTGAAACACTAAGGTGCGTAGAATTTGGTAGACAATTTTATAAACAATTTCCAAGATTCCAGCAAAGTTAGGTTGCTGTCGCAATTGACGTTTACTCCATATAAAAGTCCGGTAATTTTGTCCGTCCGATTTAGTTGACATGACGTTTATTTTAATGAACAGAATTAACAGCCAGTTTCGTATTGAACATCTCCATATATTCATATTGAAATATATGTAAAGATACATATGTACTTGAACAGTACATCCAAGGTGTCCTGAAAAAAAAATTAAGGTTTCTTATCGTTCTAGCTCAAAGTCGTTCTGGAGAGACCACTCGGCCTGGAGACAACTCGGACCATCTGCAAAAAGGACAACTTGGACCATCTACAAAAAAATAAAACAACTCGGACTGTCTATGAAGACAACACAGACCATCAATACAGCTGTAGGTCGACTCTGAAAGTCTATAAAGTCAATTGGGACCATATATAAGTCATCTTATAATGCCAACTCAGACAATTTATAAAATTACAGTTTTTACCGCACCTGGTCAACTCAGCACCTACATAAAGTAATTTCGGCATTTGGTTATTCAACTGGCACCTAATATTATTTTTATCGTTTTCTTTAATTTTTTTTATTTGAGAATAGTTTTTTGTTTTTTATATACATTGTAGATATAAGAAGATGTGGTATGAGTGCCAATGAGACAACTCTCCATCCAAGTCACAATTTGATTAATTAAACCATTATAGGTCAAAGTACAGCCTTTTTTGCATTTCCTGTCTACTTGTATAAAATGAATAACGTTGGCACCTCTTGTAGCCCATGTTTACTAGTAAATGTGCAGTTGTCATGAAATAGAGGTTCCTTTATAATATACTAGAAAAAACCAGCTCAAGCGCGGCTTGAAGACTACTTGAAATGTTTATAGTTATACACAGATTGGGTTTGTGTTTCTCAAACTGTTTTTATGCACTGATGCATTATGCTCTGATGATTTAAAACATTTGATCAGTGGTGCGAGTTTGCAGTATTTTTTTTTCGAGTGGTGCAATTTCTGTCTCTGTGTGACACAGGTGCTCCGGGAATGAAGGAATTTACTAAGAGAAGAAGAAAACAATTTAATGATTTAACACATTTCTTCGAGTTTGTTATATTTCTTTTTTTTTTTTGAGTGGTGCGAGTTTGATAAAGTGATGCAAGTTGTAATAATTAGTGAGAGAGTTTGAGTGTTGCGAGTTGGCCGTGGGCTGAGTCGTTGGGCAGTACGTCGACTGAGCATGCGCGACAGTGTTTAAGACACGGATCGATAACGGTCTCTGAATTTGGATATTTTCTAAAAAATTTCTGTGGAAAAAAGATTATTTCAAAGACAAATTAAGGAAGTACAAAACACTACATTTATACGTCTTATCACAAATATTTCCGACTTTGTATGGTTTCAGAGGAGTTGCGGCTCAATGAAATCAGTCTCTTCCTTTAGTAGTATAGTAGTTCCAATAGAAACAGTTATTATGGACCCATTTTTTATAACAAAGTTTCATTGGAACTTCTGTTACGCGCTACAAATATACGTTGACACATTGAGTAATAATATTTAAATTAATTATGTAAAAAACGGTGTCTTCAAAAGTTTACTTGCAAAACATAGTTTTAATTTTGGGTGCTGAAATAACTACCGTAGGTGCTGAGCTAACCAGGTCCCGATTTGACTAGGTCATATAAGGGGTGCTGATTTGACCAGGTGCCGAAGTGACTAGAATTCATATAGACGGTTGAGTTTTAAATGATAAAATAAAAATTCATCAAATAAATAAAACAAATTCAACATAGACTTTTTTGCTTCAATTCAGTTTTATAATAAATTGATAAAGAGAAGTAGAAATTTGAATTCGCATTAAACAAATTTTAATTTTTGTATTATATTTTGCAAATTCAGCAATATGTAAATGATACTGTCATGCAAAATATATCATTACATAATTTAAAATCATTTAAATAGTTTAAATCCTCTTTTAATACTGTGTCTGAGTTGTAATTATAGATGGTCAGAGTTGACTTATTAGTCAGTCCAATTTCACTCCGTCCGGTTGGTCTCTGGGCCAAGTTGTCCTGCATTCGTCGTTCTGAACCAATGTTTATCCGGCCAATGTTGAATCTGAGTCTGTTCGCCCAAAATCATGTTCGCTCCTATTAACTTTTTTACCCACATGTTAGCAACCCTTTTAATGGTTTTGTGTTGAATATTTTTTTTAATTGTGTTATAGTTAGTGTATTGCTTTAAAAATAAAGATAATAAGATTTTATTTTTTTTAAATAAAGTATCATTCTAAAAATGTAAACGTAAACGGTTTTCTTTTAGTATTTTGAGAATTATTTTGATGAAATGAATAATGAATATTGCCATCATAATCAAAGGCCTAGTTCATTCATCTAACATGTCTAAGACTTGTTAAAGAAAGGCAGAAGATATCAAACGATCATCAAACTCGTCATGTAGACATTGAAGCTTGGAGCAATCATAAACATTAACATCTCACACAATCATTCAAATCATGCACTATTCCAAATCAAAACGAGCACTACAGTATTTAGTAACTACAACAAAGCTAGTTAACAACAATCATGATTTTCAAACTCATAGCAATAATACCAAATTGACTTTGTAAATTCCAATTAAGATAACCATTAAGCACAATAGAAAAATACTTAATTTAAAAAATACACTAATTTGTATTCATGAAAACGTGTTATGGGAGCCCCTTTTTAAAGTAGATTCTGTCCTATATGAAAATACTTTCAAGGGTTAAAAATGATTTCTCTTATGGTTGTGTCAGACCTGTTATCTATTTCTTGCATGACAAGATATTTCTCTTATCACACTGCACGGAGTGTGATGCGAAAAAGTGATATGAAAACTGCGTCAATTTGATTGGCTTATCCACCATCATGAGATGATATCACGACATTTTCATTTTCCCGTGTTTTTCTGATAAATGGACTTATTTTGTACAGGTAACAAGTAGGTAAGTCTAGGGTTAAATATAAAAAAGAAGATGTGGTATGATTGCCAATGAGACAACTCTCCACAAGAGACCAAATGACACAGAAATTAACAACTATAGGTCACTGTACGGCCTTCAACAATGAGCAAAGCCCATACCGCACAGTCAGCTATAAAAAGCCCCGAAATGACAATGTAAAACAATTCAAATGAGAAAACTAACAGCCTAATTTATGTACAAAATATGAATGAAAAACAAATATGTAACACAGAAACAAACGACAACCACTGAATTACAGGCTTACTGAATTAAAGTTTGTTACACATCAGTTACTTTGTCAAACCTTCATAGAGTTTTATGAAACTTTGGCAGAAGCTTTTTAATGATTAAGAGATAATGTCTAGGATTAAATTTTTGTGACATGATAAATTTGTAAACCTTCATGGATTGCTATTAAACTTGAACGGAAGCTAATCTTCAGGACTGTCGCCAAGCATAAGCATCTATAGAAAAAGTTTAAATTTTTTTAAATTCTGTATTTTACTGTTAAATGGACTCATTTTTAAGTCAACATAACACTTTTACACTGACAGCAGCAATTGCAGGCGAGACACAGGGTTCCGTGAAACCCCTTTACGAATTTTTATTGACAAAAGATCTTGCTGTTGTTCTAATGCCCTGCTTGGTAACTATTATATGAGTTCCATTGAATATTTTTATTAGCTTTTTTTGCTGTTTATTTGCTAATCTGTTAGCAATTTTGTTTCCCTGTACACATCATAGCTGCAGGTTCATTGAATTCTTTGTTGATGTTTTAGTGTTTGTATTTGATAAGTAGTTGGCCTATGATTTACTATCTTCCAGTTACAGGAAAGGATTCCAATTTCTAATTGGCTGTCTGAGAAAATTTTAACTTCTTTAATCATGGTTTTGTTTTCTACTCTATCAATTAAAATCCAAGACTTTAATTTGATGGTTATAAGTTCTGCCAGGAGAATTGAACCTCTTATTAATACATGATGTTTAAGTTCTGTTTCTGAATTATTTAATATATAACAATTGGCCCTGCCCCACAAAGCCTGCGCTTGTATCTTACCCTGACACCTCAGTTTGTTTTAGAAAACTCTGCATATCTTTGTCTTAATCGCATCAAACAAAGCAAAATACTCAAAAATGAAAGTATTATGTCTGAAGATAATAGCAGTATGATTTATTTACACAACACGTCAGTTGTTGCATAAAATAATTGGTAACTGTCAATTTACTGTTACCAGTAAGGGGAAATTGAATTGAAAAGTTATACTTAATTTACCTTTAAGTATAAATGTTTTTAGCTTTTTGCTGTGGTGTATTTGTGGTCGGCTTCATGGTTCACTTGTCTGGGTCCAAAGATCACATGCATGCTAACTTCCTGTCTATCCTATCTATAAGTACAATGTACCTGTGTTATTGATTTGTATGTAGAGAAATAGGGGTATCTATTAATTAGGTTAGATAAAACCTTTCAATCATTATCAGTTCTTACCAATATACAACCAGAAGGCCGTTTAAGGCCATTTTGGAGATTTATCGTCTGGTTTATGATATGATAACATCCCTTACTGTCTTAAAGGTTATATATGTATCAAACTCACCCAGGTTCTAACAAATATAACCCTCTACTCTAATCAGTAGCACACATTTAGTGTTTTTTGCTGTAACAGACACACTCTTTTTTTTTTTAAATCACATAAAAGGATAGTTATCTTTGTTTTTTCTCAACAACATTAAATTTATGACAACAGGTACTTTTCCAATATTTTGTAATTTTTCCAACTCCAATATGGTATTACTCTACTCTTATGTCGGGTAACTAATAGCCTCTTGAATCTTATAAGCAATCTAATATAAATTACGACAAATTATATGCATATAAACTGATAATTTTGCTGACTCTTTTTTTTTACTGCCAAAAAACAAATAATATACTAGGGGAACATACATAGTATGAAAACTGTTCTTATTTCAAGAGAAACTTTTGAAAAAATAAAATAAAAATAGACGGTATTACTGCAAATTTTCTGTCTAGATAGTTATATCCTGTATATATAGATTTTGTAGCTCATAATTTCTAGACAATCATTGTAAACAATTTTCACTAGAATTTTTTAATTAAAGTCTTCTTATAGAATGATGTTTACTGTTTCTATCTCTCTTTTTGTTTGAAAGTCCATATAATTGTAAGTTATATAAGTGTGGTAAATTGATGATAACCTATTTCTGATGGTAGATAAAACAGTTCATTAACAAAGTCCATTCATACACATGCATTAATTGGATCAGGTGATATAATTGCAGATGAAAGTCTTGTTGATTTTGACCCTATTTCGATTGTAGGTGATAATGACAATGCCAGATATAAATGTTTTGTTACAGGATATTTAGATAACAGTTTATGAAGGATCTGTATCTCAGTGACAACATGTCTCTGTCTGTATATTTGTCTGTCCAACCAACCAGCTAATTTCTTAGAGAGTAGAATGCCATTTACTGGAGCAAAATAATAGATCCCATGTAAAGTGGTAGCAAATAGTAATGAAAGAATTATTATCTGAAAAGATTTTTTTTCTATTTGTATTTTGATACAAAAAAAATCCAAGAAGAGCTTGACTAGAATTTTTTAACCGGATTTTCGAAGGAAATATCGGTTATTAAAATGGTTATATACGGCGGGCGGCTCTGGCGGCTGCCAAAAGCATCCGCACAATAACATGAAAACGCTTTAACAAATTTTTTTCAAATTTAAATATGTTGTTTCCTGGGACTTAATGAAGGTCTCTATTAATTTTCAAGATTTTAGTATATCTCCTTTGTGAGTTATCTTCATTTTTAATATCCAAAAGTAGAATTTTTAAACATTTTACTGTTGTTATCTTTTTATGATTTGTCTTATCTCAGAATAAAAATTGGAGTGACAGATTTGTTTGAAAATTATCTATTTCCTAAGTGGTAATGATTATACGCTATATCATTAGACATTTTGAGGATTATTACATTATTAATTATGTTAGAGTACTATGTTAAACAACCATAGTTCTGTTCAATTAGATATTATAAATATTTCAGCATATGATAATGATTTATTTTCATTATTAATTAGATCTTTGAAATATTTTAGCATATGATAATCATTGGAGTAACAGATTTATTTGAAAATTTACTGTTTTCTGATTGAAATATAGGGGAAGTCAATTGCTGTAACCCCTACCCCCTTTTTTTTTTGATAACTTGTAAACGGTCAAGATTCCCACCCAGAAACCATATATATTCTTGCATGGGACAATATATCAAATCAAATGAAATATAGGGGAAGTCCACGGGGGTAAACCCTTCCCCCTTCTTTTTGAAAACTTGTAAACGGTTGAGATCCCCACCCCTAAACCATATATGTACTTGTATGGGACAATAAATTAAAGCAAATTAAATTTAGGAGAAGTCCCCTGGGGTAACCCCTACTCTCCTTTTTTTTGAAAACTTGTAAATGGTCAAGATCCCTACGGCGAAACCATATATATTCTTGTATGTTACAATAAAACAAATGAAATGAAATAAAAGGTGAGTTCCTTGGGGTCAATCAGTTTGCCACACTTTTATGCCTGCGCTGTAGTTGAGGGGGGGCATTAAGTTTTACCCTTGTCTGTCTGTAAGTATGTATGCTGTATGTCCCAAAATTGATTTTCGTTCCCTATGGGACAATAAAACAAATCAAATGAAATATAGGGGAAGTCAATTGGGGAAAATACCACCCCCCTTCTTTTTGATATCTTGTAAACGGTCAAGATCCCCACCCTGAAACCATATATGTTCTTGTATGTTACAATAAAACAAATCAAATGAAATAAAAGGCGAGTCCTCTGGGGTTACTCCCACCTTCTTCCTGTTTAAGAACTTGTAAACGGTTGAGATCCCCACCCCTAAACCATATATATTCTTGCATGGGACAATAAAACAAATCAAATGAAATTTAGGGGAAGGGATGTCCTCTGGTGTAACCCCCAACCGCTGAACCATATATATTCTTGTATGGGACAATAAAACAAATCAAATGTAATATAGGGGGAGTCCATTGGGGTAACCCCCACCCCCTTCTTTTTGATAGCTTGTAAACGGTCAAGATCCCCACCGCGGAACCATATATATTCTTGTATGTTACAATAAAACAAATGAAATGAAATAATAGGTGAGTTCCTTGGGGTCATTCCCACCTTCTTCCTGTTTAAGAACTTGTAAATGGTTGAGATCCCCGCCCCTAAACCATATATATCCTTGTATGGGACAAAAAAACAAATATGAAATAAAGGGCAGGTCCCCTGGGAAAATTAATCTGTGTTATATTTGAACATAAATTAAATATATATAGGGTTCTTTCAAGTGCTGAATCTGAACTTGTTTTTAATTAGATAATAATCTATTTTTATTTTGAGATAAAGTTTTTGACATTGCTAGATAAGTTGCAGATCTGTATTATTTTTTGACACATGAAAGAAACAATATTAGCAACTATTAATTAAATTTGATTACTTTTTTTTTACTGGTTTATGGAAATAAGTTTGAGTTATTTATTTTGAAAAGTGATGTGTTTAATTGATAGATATAAAATCATATACCCCCCTTCTTTTTGATAACTTGTAAACGGTAGAGATCCCCACCCTAAACCATATATATTCTTGAATGGGACAATAAAACAAATCAAATGAAATTGAGGGAAAGTCCCCTGGGGTAACCCCCACCCCCCTTCTTTTTGAGAACTTGTAAACGGTCGAGATCCCCACCCCTAATACATATATATTCTTGTATGGGACAATAAAACTAATCAAATGAAATATAAGGCGAGTCCCCTTGAGTCACCCCCACCCCCCTCCTGTTTAAGAACTTGTAAACGGTCGAGCTTTTCATTATTAATAAGATAATACCACATTGAGGTCCAAAGGGTCCTAAATTAAACTTTTGTTTAATTTCATCAAAAATTGAATTCTTTGGTTCTTTGATATGCTGATTCTAACAATGTTTGAGTGTTAAATCATATCTAATTTTAGAGAACTTAGTCATCACTGGTTGTTGTTATTATATTATTGATTATAATTTGAAAAATTGCATCATATCTTATTTTAGAGAACTATTTATCCAGCTTGAGTTATTTCCATTTGCACAGAAAATATTATGGATAAAATTAACCTGTGTTTCATTTCAACATAAATTAAATATATATATATTGGGTTCTTTCAAAGGCTGAATCTAAACTCTATTTAAATATTAGATTTTTAGGCCCAGTTTTCAAGTTGGTCCAAATCAGGGTCCAAAATTAAACTTTGTTTGATTCAACAAAAATTGAATTTATGGGGTTCTTTGAAATGCTGAATCTAACCATGTATTGAGAGATTTTGGATTGTGGGCTCCTTTATCAAATTGGTCCACATTGAGGTCCAAAGGGTCCTAGATTAAACTTTTGTCTGATTTCATCAAAAATTGAATTCTTGGGGTTCTTTGATATGCTGATTCTAATATGTACTTAGATTTTGGATATTGGACCATAATAGGTATTTAAATGTCCAATTTCAAATATATCAGTTCTTTGACTACATTCTTTTTGTGTCACAAACCTATGATGTGTCAAATATTCAATCACAATCCAAATTCAGAGCTGGTTAAGTTTAAATGTAGTGTCCATACTTGCTCAACTGTTCAGGGTTCGACCTCTGCAGGAAAATCCGGTTTGCTGTCTCTCTGACAGCCTCTTGTTTTCAAAATGTCATGAATCTTTTCTTGATACAGGTTAAATTCAGTTCTGTTGGATGAGACAGTTATCATTCAAGGGTAATGTCCCTATAAATTCTTTTACTCTAGCAAAAATGAAAAAAAAATAAAAGGTAACTTTGGACTGAGTTATCTGTGATCACTAGGTAATTTAATTTCTTTATTGATCATGCCATTCTTGTTCCAACAGTTTGATAAATGCTTTTAGACTGGTTGCTTATTGTTGTATACCATAAGGTTAAGGTTACATGTAGTACATGTATATATGGAAGAGGTTATGCGTTGTACAGGTGGCTGTTTGTTTAAGTTATCTTTACTTTGTATGGTGTGAAGTGAAAGAAAACATGAATCATTTTAAGTTCAAGATCAAGGTCACAAAATGGTATGATTATAGTATTAGTAACCTTGAGTATCATTGGCCTTGCATGTTCATGTGACCTTTATACAGCTTGAGCGTACTTTTGATAGTAACATTTTGATCATATACGTTACAACATTGGGATGTTAATCATTTTCTAAAGAAAGCTTGCAATGGTTTGTATAGTTTCAGCATATAGGGAAATATTTTAAGTCATTTGATAACTTTTTTTTATATATTCAGAGATTCTTATTGGTTTACATTC